AGATACGAATGGCTAAAGTATACACAACCGAAATGTTTATCAAATACAAATTCGGGAACCAGGTAGGTCCGTTCCAATTTCCGTTATTAGTTATAATACCAATGAGTACATTCTAGATCATACAGAGTCTACATCCAATACACAGTTGGACAGACACATGATGAACCTATGGAGAAGAAGTACAATCGATTAGAGAAACTTGGAATCCAATTTAAGCTGTGGCGGAAGTGGTATTTGTATGAACCAATGATTTCTTTTGACTGATGACTGCTTGACTTCGAATTCCAAATACAATAAATTCGTTCGTGCTCATATAGTTCTTCTTGGCTAAATTGTGTTATTTCTAGGATTCTTAGTTTGTACTTACTTACTTACTTATGCCTGTTACTCCCAATGGAGCATAGGCCGCCGACCAGCTTTCTCCAACCCACTCTGTCCTGGGCCTTCTTTTCTAGTTCTATCCAGTTCTTGTTCATTCTTCTCATGTCTGTTTCTATTTCTCGGCGTAGTGTATTCTTTGGTCTTCCTCTTCTCCTTTGACCTTCAGGATTCCATGTGAGGGCTTGTCTTGTGACGCAATTAGCTGATTTCCTCAAGGTGTGCCCAATCCACTTCCAGCGCTTCTTCCAGATATCTCCCTCTGCTGGAATCTGGTTTGTTGTCTCCCACAGTAACTTATTGCTAATAGTGTCTGGCCATCGGATCCGAAGTATTTTGCGTAGACAACTGTTAATAAACACTTGTATCTTCTGGATAATGGCTTTCGTAGTTCTCCACGTCTCCGCCCCATACAATAGAACTGTCTTGACATTTGTATTGAAAATTCTAACCTTGGTGTTGGTTGACAATTGTTTTGAGCTCCAGATGTTTTTCAGTTGTAGGTATGCTGCTCTTGCTTTGCCGATCCGCGCCCTCACATCTGCATCTGATCCACCGTGTTCATCAATGATGCTGCCCAGATATGTAAAGGTTTCCACATCCTCCAAAGCTTCTCCGTCAAGTGTAATTTGATTGGTGCATATTGTATTGTATCGGAGAGTCTTGCTTTTCCCTTTGTTTATATTGAGACCTACTGCTGCTGAGGCTGCTGCTACACTGGTCATTTTTTCCTGCATTTGTTGTTGCGTTTGTGATAGAAGAGCCAGATCATCCGCGAAGTCTAAATCGTCAAGCTGCATCCTGCCTGTCCACTGTATCCCGTGATTTCCTCCAGATGTTGACGTCTTCATGATCCAGTCGATGACCAGGGGAAAGAGAAAGGGTGACAGTAAGTAACCTTGCCTAACACGGGTCTTTACTTGAAACGAGTCGGTGAGTTGTCCTCCATGGACGATTTGGCAGTTTAGTCCATCATAGGAGTTCCGTATGATATTTACTATCTTCTCAGGCACGCCGTGGCGTCGAAGAAGCTTCCATAGTGTCGTCCTGTTCACGCTATCAAATGCCTTCTCGTAGTCGATAAAGTTGATGTAGAGTGATGAATTCCATTCGATTGATTGTTCCACAATGATACGTAGAGTTGCGATTTGATATGTGCACGATCTATCCTTACGAAATCCAGCTTGTTGATCTCGAATTTGTGCGTCCACGGAATCCTTCATCCTGTTTAACAATACTCGGTTGAAGACTTTTCCTGGTATTGAGAGAAGAGTGATGCCCCTGTAGTTGTCGCATTTGCTAAGATCGCCTTTCTTTGGTATCTTGATCAGAAGTGCTTTTTTCCAATCTGTTGTTAAAAATTGTCGCTCTGGTTGTAAGAAGGTGCATCGGCCTCATGACTTCCGAAGGAACTTGGCTTTCCTCATGAAGCGTCATAATCATTCTTTCTACTCCCAGGGCAGAGTTTAAATGGTTTGAATGATTTTTTCTGGTTAGCGTTTTTTTAGCGAGTTGATTTTCTACGGGATGGGGTCGCTAACCCCATACCCAACCCTCCTCCTTTACCCGGGCTTGGGACCGGCAGTAACCCCCAGAGGAGCTACAGGCGGCAGCTACAGGCGGCTACATGCCTGTACATTTTTGATCGTTGTCATTGTAAGGATTGCCTTAACCACATACGGACATCTTTATTCATGGACGAACAGACGTATTGTGCAGCGACGAGGCGTAATATGGCTCGATACCTGGGTGAGACAGATCATGAAGGGCATCAAAGATGAGACGACGGTAAGCAGAGAGTACGATGGGTCGGGGGGACACGTAGAAGTATCGCATAGGATAGTACCTGAGTATGTAGCTAGGGGTACTTCCGGCACTGAGGGGGTGTAGAGTGTCGTGCTTCTTTGCATGAAAGATCACTTGCTTGGGAAACAGCCACAGCTGGAAGATCGAGCACCGGCAAAGTAACTGCATTCACCTGGATACGTGACGGAGCATCGGCAACATAGTTTGACTCGCCCTTGATGTGACGAATGTCTGTCATGAACTGAGAGGCATAGTCCAAATGTCTGCATCCACGTGGTGAGTAGCAGTCAGACTTGGTATTCATAACATACGTTAAAGGCTTATGGTCTGTGAATAGGATGAAGTTGCGACTTTCTACTGCGTGCCGGAAATATTTGATGGCTCAGTAGGCTGCTAGGAGTTCTCTACCAAAAGCACTATATCTCGTCTCCGTGAGAGATTGCCAACTCCCGGAGTTGTTCTGTTGCATAACGGCCCCTGTGGTGAAATCCGATGCATCGGCCGCTATACTAAGCGTGGCTAGTGGGTCAAGATGAGAGAGAAGTGTGGCTTGAGGTAGGGCCATTTCGTTCTCTGAAAATGCAGTACGTGAGACGTCGTTCAATTCTAGTTTGTGTGGGTTACCGTGAAGTTGGTCAGTTGATGGTCGTAACCGTTCTGCCACGTGTGGGATGAAATATCAATGGAAGTTGACTAAACAGAGAAATGCCTTCAGTTCCTTGGGTGTTAACGGTACGGTGTACTCCCTTATTGCACGTACTTTGTCCTCACAAGGTAGAATACCGTCTTACTTAATAACATGACCTAAGAATTTTATTTCCGTTTTCCAAAGTTCACACTTGTCCGAGTTGACTATTATTCGATTATCCAAAAGGCGCTGAAATATTAGCATTAGGTGCAGATAATATTCATCTACGTTTGATGAAGCGATTAGCAGGTCACAATATAGACGTGAACAAACTCGAAGTCTCGTACTATGCTATCGATAAAACTTTGGAAAGTTTGAGAAGCATTCCGTAATCCAAATGGCATTCGTAGGAACTCAAACAGACAGAAAGAAGTCATGAGAGAAGTTTTCTTGATGTTTTTAAGAGCGTCTGGGATCTGGTGATATGCTCGTACCGGATCGATCATAGTAAAAATAGTCGTACCCTTGAGTGACGCCGTGATGTCATGTACGTGAAAGATGGGGTAGCTATCGAAAAGCGTAACTGCGTTTAAAGCTCGGTAGTTTACAAATGGTCTCCAACTAGACTGGTGACCACATTGCAACTCGATCGATAGCATTCGATAAGCAATAAGAAGGATCTGACATGCATGAGATTGATCACCACCCAGGGATCAATCAATTGTGATTACATCTCAGTACTACAGGAGGTTGGTCGCGGACCGAATAGCTCAGTGGTAACGTCTCTGACTGTGAAGCTGAGTGACGTGGGACCGAATCCGCCAGGGAGCATCAGTTCACTCAGGATTACAGGTACACCTTGCTGACGAGTGCCAAGTGGCACGAAACCCGGGTACAGAGTTTCCTGTTGACCATCTCCAACCACCATCTTAACCCTATACTTGTTTCATACCATGTGGGGATGTGAGGCTCAGGGACTGTGAGAAAGAAGAATAATACCAATAGCTAACAAGTCGTCAAACTCACGTTTAGCGAATGCTGAATTGTCCGGTGCAAGTCATCGAAGATTTGCCGTGACTGAGGATCCGCGGGCGAGTATGTGGTGTACCACAGATCAGCGGTATATGTCTCTCGCTGAATGAATGTTCACATACTCATCAACCGTCTTCTATTACTCCACATCCACTCTACACTCACAACATGAACAAGCATGAAGTCACGAAGATTCCAATGGAAAATCAATTTCACAGAATCTGAACGCAGGAACAACTTGTAGATCAAAACCAAACTATCGTCTTACCAACCGTACACCAGAAAGTAAACGTTCAACAAGTCAACTCAGTACGCTGATCAGGAAATAAATAACATGGAATGGAATGCAATTTAAAAATATTTATTCGGAAAAATTACATCAATATTGTAACATTAAGCAACGATTAGTTCATTAAAACATATTCTCTTCTAGTGAGTAATTGCATGTTGCTTCTCCAATGGCGCCTCCAATACCAATGTATTGCCGACCACCTGAGCAGAAACAGATAACGGATCAACTGTCTCTGGAATCGCATACGACTGACTGAACTCTGCAAATGAACTCGACTTTCCATATTGACCACTCTTCTGCTTATGATGACGTCCACTAACCACAACACGATTCGAATCGACATTCACACACAAGTCTTCAGGCTTGTACACTGGGTCCACTGGAACTTCAACATGCAGTCGCTTCCCACCTGAACCATCATCCACATACGAAAGACCATGAACACCTGAAATGGATAGGAAAACATACAAAGGTTTTGATGAAAATGTAACACATACAAACGAGAATAACACACCCACCAGATCACCATCAACACACACATGTTACATCTAAGTCAATCACAACTCCTCTCACCTTTCGCAACAAGAGCTTGTGATACAGGAACTGCCTTAATCTGATTGTCCGACTTCGGTCGAACAGCCACCTGACCAGACTCGTTCAACGTCAACGACTGGTTCTGATCAACCTTCACTGGAGCCTCCAACATCAAAACACCATCCTGAAATAAACAAACAAACGCACAGAACGAGGTTGAAAGAAATCTCCAACTATTCTAACATGATTCGAAATGCGAACAACTGCAAATACAACACACACACACACACAATACCACTAGCAACCACGGTCGTCAACTCAACAACTTACATCTGTCATGCGACATTTCAGTTGACTATCATCAATACTCTTCGGCAGCTGCACCATACGACAGAACTCCCGACTACACTTCCCACCATCGGTCGTCGTCTCCTTCTTCGCGTGTACCGTCACACGGTTCTCACTCGACGTCACATTGATGTCCTGAGGAGCGAAACCTTGTGCATCGAATCGTACTTTGAAATGTACCTACGCAATAAACAACAATCACAATAACACTCGTCAATCCATGGCCATATTCAAACCAGCTGCACAAACCACTAAACACAACCTACCTGCTCGTCAACACGGACTCACCTTGCCATCCTCACCTACTTCGTAGGCGTCCTTCAAAAAGTCACTCACTGAACCGGTCGACGGCACATCCAATGAGCCCATTCTCTCTCGGATATCCTGGATATGACGATCCATTTGGTGCATTAAAGCGAATGGATTTTCCAGAATCCCGTGGGTGAAAGTATCCAATGGCTGAAATTCAAAGTACATACAGAGATCATCAAATCTCTCCTCGAATTTAATGCAAAATCTCCTTACACAATGCATTATTGCATTCCTAATGTACACAAATTACAAACATTATCTCACAAAATCATATGTATTAATGATCACCTGAATACTGAATAGCCAAACTCACTAATAGTGCAAACATTCCACGTCGCAAACGTCGCATTTCTTCATCCCATCGCCTCCACGAGGAGTTGATCCAACTGTCCACTGTACTCGGCCAGTCTTCCGTGTATGGTGCGATTAAGTTGCCACGATGAGTACCACTCCCGTGTTCAAGGCCAGTTAACAGATCACGTCTCTGTCTCTCAAATGACCGTTGCTCACGATTCACAGGAATACTAACTGCATTATGTTGTTTCCCACCAGACATATTGAACACAACAACAGAAACAGAACAGCAATATGAATTGAATGTCCACTGTTTAACTCACTTATATAGTAGTGGGTGAGAGAGATTATCCAATAATCTCTAGACAGGCAACAACCAATCAGAACACTAATATTTCTACAATGTAATCAAGTCCAAATCTGATTGGTGATTGAAGGACATTTTCTCGAAAGTTCTAGATTTCTCTCGTCCTGTCTGGTCTACGTCAATACATGTTTGCTCTGTGTCAACACACACTACACCTTATTTACTAGAACTCTCTAGAAAACACTCCGGAATTCTAATAAATTCCTAGTGCTTCCATACTGATACTATTCACTACAAATCACAACTGACCATTAGTGATGTCGTACTTGATAATTTTATTTCTATACACATTCATGGTTATTTGGCAAGAATTTCCAAAGCACTCAAATTGATTAGGTGAGTCTTGACAGGATCAATCGGGAATAGTCAACAGACTGTTTATTTGTTCGGCTCATTCTCTTTTTAGTTGAAAGCAGACAGCTTAGATTGTTTGGTCAAAACTGAACTATAAACAGTGATTTTCGTGTAAAGCAATCAAAATCTTTAAAGTTCATGATACGTACTACATGCATCCAGATGAGAATTCATCCCAAACTGTACTTTACTGAGAGTATTTCTGAAATATTCCTTTCACCAGTTTGTTTACTTATCACACAAATAATCTGGAATCCGCAAGTTGATTGTCCTGATCAACGTCTTCTCTAATCGATAACGTTTGCTGACTAAATTTGTGAAGAATTTGTGATATTTGACACATCTATTGATTATTATAAAGTTTTCGTACTTAGATTTATGCCTGTGTTTCCAAGTCCATTTGGTTATATGCACTGATGCGTTTTCAACATTAGTCCACTTTTGAACGACTTCTCAATTGACAGTATTTTTAACCAAAATTAGTTGAAAACTTTACTAATTGTCGTGAAGTAATATTGCTATAATCCATGCTCAACATTGCTTATAAATTCGAAGTTTTTGTTGTCATACTCCCATGTACGTGTTGTACTGCATCCGACTTACATAACTACAGAATAAGCTTGGGGTTGAACAGAAATTATAATTTCACTAAACCAAAGACACCTGATAATAGTGTTCTAGAAATCTCAAATATTTGAAGATTGGCGAGTAACTTTACTCCACTAGTTGCTTGAAATATTGATCTACTCTTACTGTTTCCAATGTAAACGAACCAGACGGTCAGTCGACAAATAACTACAGATTAGAATTATTTCACATCAAAATATAATTGGGGAATTTGTACTAACTGATGATTCCTTTGCACTCGATTCCGAGCCTATTATAAATTCCAAATATAACACGTTCAGTTGTGTTCATTTAGTTTTATCTACCTTAGAATGCACTATTTCGGGGATTCTTAGTTAGCGAATCAGGTTAGATGCTTATTATTATTATTATGGCGTTGTGGTGGAGCCTTTGACTGAGCAGTTGGATATACATTCAATTTCTGAAGCTTCGAACGATTAAATTGGAAGGTTTGGAATCTGTAGTATGACCAGCAAAGATGTTAAAGATGATAACATTGTGACTCCATTTCCTTACATTCACCGAAAAGGATGCCTACAGCTCACTAAAGACTTGGCATTTCCAGATAAGCCTATCTCACTTCCTTATGAAATTCTTAAGGAACTGCTATTGAATAATGTGAAGTGCACCAGTTTTGAATGTCATGAGAGAGCAAAATTTCAATGAGATGATTAGTCAGAATAACCAAAAGGTTAGGGAATTCACCCTTGAGTTGCACAGACAAACTGCGAAATGCAATTTCGGTGACCAACTTCATGTGCAACTGAGGGATCGATTAATTGCAGGAATTAACATACCAGGTCTGGAAAGAGAGAGTTGTCAAGAATGCCGAACTGTTCATTTCAAGATGCTAGGACTGCATGTATTAACTACGAAACAGTGAATGTACTTGATATGCAGTCGACGAAAATTCCAATACTTTGCTCAGTCGTCATGATGAAATACAATATCAGGGTCGATCAAACTTGCGTTCGTTTAATAGTGATCCCTATTTTCGTGAAGTATGAAAGGTGATTCATCAAAGAATCGCAAAGCAAACCACAAAGGCGAGAGCAAGTTTGGTAGATGTTTATCCTGTGACAAATTCCATTCTCGTAATTCCTGTGCATTTCCTAATGCTAAATGTATTAAATGTGGTAAAACAGGACACATTCAGTCAGTGTGCAAAACTACTGTTTATTTTGCTTCAAGTAGTACTGTGGTGTAGGCTACTTATATCCGCATAAGTAGTATACAACGATAGTCAGGAATAGAATGTATTTCAGTAGAAGATCGAGAAGGAAAGAACGGAAAGGGCAAACATTTGGCATGAAAATGCAGGAACAATGAAATCTGAGACGATTGACTGACATTTTGCAATTGAAGTTTTTATTGCATTATTATCAGATTTTAATAAAACGTTCTGTAATTTTCAGTTTAAATACAACCGATTGTATGCATTACTGTTTGTGTTCACTACAGTCCTAAATCTTGTAATTTAGATCTCATTAATCCGGCTCTTCCAAATGATCTTTTATCTTTACCCACCATTTCGAAAGGTTATGCTCATATTCAAAAGCGATTATACATATCCCTTGTTTCATTTCATGACTTTATTGTAGACACCGACAGTGTAGAGCCAGTTCGAATCATGGACAGAATAAATAAGATGTTCGATAATGAAGCTGTCAGTCGACTTACACTTTGCTTTTAATAACCATGCAAGTTAACACTCTGTGATGAGATTAGAAAGTGTACGATATGTACTGAACTATATTTACATACGTGGTGGGATAACCCATTTGTTATGTTTACATTATTAAAACAGTCATCTGATTTTAAATAAATAATATATTTGTAATATCCCAATGAGTAGAAAAATAAGATTTTCTGACGTTTCGTGACTCAGTGTAAGCCATTAACATTAATGCTAATTTGGTTATTTATTCTCTGAAGAAGTATAAACTAGTAATAACTCCGCCTGTAGCTCCTCTGGGGGTTACTGCCGGTCCCAAGCCCGGGTAAAGGAGGAGGGTTGGGCATGGGGTTAGCGACGCCATCCCGTAAAAAAACCAACTCGCTAAAAAAACGCCAACCAGAAAAAAATATTCGAACCATTTAAACTCTGCCCTGGGAGTAGAAGGAATAATTATGACGTCTCATGATGAAAGCCGAGTTCCTTCGGAAGTCATGAGGCCGATGCACCTTCTTACAACCAGAGCGACAATTTTTATAGGTACATGGAATGTCCGGACAATGTGGGAAACCGGGAGAGTCTTCCAAATTGCTGCAGAAATGAGGAAATACGACCTGGAGGTGCTTGGGATCAGTGAAACACATTGGACACAGGTTGGACAACAACGACTGTCTTCAGGGGAACTTCTGTTACACTCCGGTCATGAAGAAGAAAATGCCCCCCATACACAAGGAGTTGCATTGATGCTGTCCAGAAAAGCACAAAATGCACTTATTGGATGGGAATCTCATGGATTAAGGGTCATCAAAGCCTCCTTCAAATCAAAGAGAGAGGGCATTACAATGAACGTTATCCAATGCAATGTGCCTACCAATGATTACAATGAAGATGTTGAAGATCAATCCTACGATAGGTTGCAGTCAATCGTCGAGAAATCCCCAACAAAGGACTTGACTGATAGAAGACCTAGATGCCAAGTTTGGAGTCGACAACACTGGACACGAAGGCATCATGAGACGACATGGACTGGGAGAAAGGAACGAATGTGGTGAGAGTTTTGCAAACCTATGTGCCTTCAATAGACTGGTCATAGGTGGCACTATATTCCCAAACAAACGCATACACAAAGCCACTTCGATTTCACCGGATCACACTACACAGAATCAAATCGACCATGTCTGCATCAACAAAAAGTTCAGGAGGACGATGGAGGATGTGAGAACCAGAAGAGGAGCTGATATAGCATCCAATCATCATTTGCTGGTCGCCAAGATGAAACTGAAACTCAAGAAGCACTGGACAACGGTGCGGACAACATCACAAAAGTTTAATACGGCCTTTCTTCGAGATGCTGACAAAGTCAACAAATTCAACATAGTCCTCAGCAACAGGTTCCAGGCCTTTCATGATCTACTCAATGGAGAGGGAACTACCATGGAGAGCAACTGGAAAGGTATCAAAGAGGCAATCGTTTCAACATGTCAGGAGGTTCTGGGCCAAAAGAAGCACCGTCACAAGGAACGGATCACTGTTTGTACACTGGATAAAATTGAAGAAAGGAGGAACAAAAAGGCAGCAATCAATATCAGCCGAACAAGAGCAGAAAAAGCCAAGGCACAAGCCGAATACACAGAGGCAAACAAGCAAGTTAAGAGGAGCATCAGAACCGACAAACGTAAATATGTGGAAGATTTAGCAATGACAGCAGAAAAGGCTGCAAGAGAGGGAAACATGAGCCAACTGCGTGATACAACAAAGAAACTTGCTGGAAATTACCGTAAACCAGAAAGACCAGTGAAAAGCAAGGAAGGCAAAGTAATCACCGACATTGAAGAACAACGTAACAGGTGGGTAGAACACTTCAAAGAACTCTTAAATCGACCAGCTCCACTGAACCCACCCAACATCGAAGCAGCACCCACAGACCTCTTAATTGATGTTGGCCCACCAACAATTGAAGAGATTAGCATGGCCATTAGACAAATCAAGAGCGGCAAAGCAGCGGGACCAGACAACATCCCGGCAGAGGCACTGAAAGCAAATGTAGCAGCAACTGCCAAGATACTCCAATCCTCTTCAGTAAGATTTGGGACGAAGAACAAGTACCAACAGACTGGAAAAAAGGACTTCTGATCAAAATACCAAAGAAAGGTGATCTCAGCAAGTGCGACAACTAAAGGGGCATCACTCTCCTCTCAATACCAGGGAAAGTCTTCAACAGGGTATTGTTAAACAGGATGAAGGATTCCGTGGACGTCCAACATCGAGATCAACAAGCTGGATTTCGTAAGGATAGATCGTGCACAGATCAAATCGCAACTCTACGTATCATTGTGGAACAATCAATCGAAAGGAATTCATCACTCTACATCAACTTCATTGACTACGAGAAGGCATTTGATAGCGTGAACAGGACAACACTATGGAGGCTTCTTCGACACTACGGCGTACCTGAGAAGATAGTCAATATCATACGGAACTCCTATGATGGATTAAACTGTAGAATCATGCATGGAGGACAGTTGACGGACTCGTTCGAGGTAAAGACCGGTGTTAGGCAAGGTTGCTTACTCTCA